TTGTTGTGTGTGTGTGTGTGTGTGTGTGTGTGTGTGTGTGTTATGTGTGTGTATATATATATATAATTAAAAAAAATACACAGACACAGAGAGAGAGATATTGTTGGCTTTTTTGTTAGTTTTCTTGATAAGCTATTGAAGTTGTGCTTAAGTACTTCTAGTTGAAGTGTTGTTTTTTTAACAGAACACTCAGACCACCATTAAACTTTTTCAAGAGTGCTGTCCTCATTCCACGGACAGAGTGGTGCTTATTGGTGGAAAGCCTGATAGAGTTGTGGAATGCATCAAGATCATCCTGGATCTTATATCAGAGGTAACATGTTTTTAGATTAATTTATTAAAAGATCAGTATTTTGTTTATGAGGGGCCTAGATGTTTTCAAGATAGGTGCATGACACTTCAGTCTTCAGGATTCCATTTCTATTCTAGTATATGGAAATTATAACCAAAAGTTTACTATTTGGCTACTGATGTCCTGTGTTAAATAAGTTTTCAGGCTAATTCTAGAAAACATTGTCTTTTTACAATTTTTTTTTTTTTAAAAAAAGGGCAGTATTTCTACAAAAAAGGCATTGGTCCCCTTCTCTTGTATACTGAATGATATAAGGGGAGTCCGGGATGGAATAAAATCAGAAAAGAATGGGCACAGAAACTGAATTACTCTCTGATCCTTGAGTGGTGTCTCCAGCAGAGTAGAACTTCATAGGAAGCATATTAAGGCTGTTGTCTACACCTGACAGCTTACAGCAGTGCAGCATTGCAATTCAGCTGCGCCACTGGAAGAGCTCTCATGTAGAGGCTCTGTGCCAACGGAAGAGATCTCTCCTGTTGGCATAATTAATCCACCCTCAATAAGCAGCGGGAGAAGCTCTCCTGCCGACATGATGCTGTGCACACTAGCGCTTATGCCGGCATAATTTGTTTTTCAGTGGGGTGGAATATTCACACCCCTGAGCGACTTAAAATTTTGCTGACATAAGTGGTAGCGTAGACATTGCCTAATAGGGAAGTTCATGCTCGTACTGCCTCTTCTGTGGATAAAGTGAGGACATGCCAGGGTTGCTAGATGTACTCTTCACAAACATGATACTTATCAAAGTGTACAGGGATAATTTTCAAACTCTTTTTAAATTGGTGGTATTGTTTTATACTTTCGTGTATTATTATACTGAGGTTTATTAATTTTAACAGTCAAATGCGAACTGTCTTTACTTTTTAATTAGTCTCCAATCAAAGGACGGGCACAGCCATATGATCCCAATTTCTATGATGAAACATATGACTATGGTGGCTTCACAATGATGTTTGATGATAGAAGGGGACGTCCAGTAGGATTTCCTATGCGTGGAAGGGGAGGCTTTGATCGAATGCCTCCTGGTCGTGGTGGGCGTCCCATGCCACCATCAAGAAGAGATTATGATGACATGAGCCCTCGCAGAGGACCCCCTCCTCCTCCTCCAGGTCGTGGTGGCAGAGGTGGTAGCAGAGCACGTAATCTTCCTCTTCCTCCTCCTCCGCCTCCTCGTGGCGGGTGAGTTGTTGTGCAAAGACCTATAAAATTGAGTAGAATTTGTTGTTTCCTGTGTTCGTTGCAGATTATCAAATTGAGTTAGTAATTTTGAACTAAAATGTGACCTTACATAAGTGAAAATACGTAAATTACACCAGTTTTGTTTTGTTTTTCTTCATTGTAGAGATCTTATGTCTTATGACCGGAGGGGCAGACCTGGAGACCGTTACGATGGAATGGTAAGGATTTTAATTTGTATTGTAATTTACCATGTGGTCACGAAAAAACCTTATTTGTTTGTTCTCTTTCAAGAATTGCCTCTTCAAATAGCTGTTTTTGTTTCTCAATGTTCTAGCAAGCAGGGGCCCATCAGAACAGTGCAAAAGGAACACTTCACAGTTCCCTCATGGAAAGGGACATTTAGGACTGAAGCTACAAGGGGCATACACCACTGCTTCAGCCAGCTTGTTTTCCTACTATTGTCAGCTGTGGTGCTCTATCCCTTTCAGGGTGTGCCCTGGCTGAATTGCCCAGGCATCAGTGTGAACAAGGTGTTGCATTACTGCATAATCTCCTGAAGTCGAGTGGCCTTTCTTGTCATTGTTTTGCAATCCGCTGCAAGAATGTGGATATGCCCTTTCAAAGCTCCGTTTCTGACAGCCCAGCATGCTTATCTGCCCATGACAAAGCAACCATTACTGTGGAATGCTGCTGCTGTGAGTGTGTGAAGGGGGGGGTATTTGCTGCTGTCTGAACTTACAAGACAGGATGCTGACACACTCTCAGCACCCCAAAAAACACTTCCTCCCCCCCCACATACACACAACACACTCCCTGTCGCACTCCGCTCTCCCCCTTCCCCCCTCATTTGAAAGGCATGTTGCAGCCACTTGTATGCTGGGATAGCCACCACAATGCACTGCTCTTTGTGGCGATGCAAGAGCTACTAATGTGGCCACACCAGTGTGTTTGCAGCTGACAGTGTAAACACGGCAGCATTTTCCCAGCTGCAGTCTCTGAAGGCTGGTTTAACTCCCAGCGCTCTGCATCTGCAAGTGGAGACTTGAGGGCATGGCTACACTACCTCGCCTTTTTGTCCTATGAGCACATGGGTGCTAATAGGTCACTTCATCTTGAATATGTGCTAACTACCCAAGCTAAACAGTGTGTTGGATCTTGTAGATAGTTGAGACACTGTTAAGCCATGTCTACACTGGCAAGCTTACAGCAGTGTAGCTGCATGATCACTCGTGTAGCCACTATGCCGACTTGACAACATAATAAACCTACCTAAATGAACAGTGGTGGCTATGTCAGCAGGAGAAGTTCTGCCCACATAGTGCTGTGCACATCTTGTCTAAAAGTGCTTTTCATAAAGATATTAAGATCTAAAGCTATTGGATCTTTGTGGCTTTGTGTATTCTGAAGCTTCTGGGACTTACCATTGTGGCTTCAGAAAAAGTGATGGAGTGCTACCCTGACTTAAAGTTGGGGCCATCATTTGAGAGATGCCATTGGTCCAAGAATGATTTTGAGTTAAAAGGCAAGCCAAATATGAGCATTCAGATGGTTTGCTGCTTTCTATTCTAGTGTTGTTGGATCCTGCTGCAGGTACTGCACTTTTTGCCCCCAGTGCAAGTCTCAGATGTCAGTTTCCACTTTTCTGCAGATTGTCACCTGCCCCCAGTTACCTTGAATATCTTATCACTCATGTTCTTCACTTGATTCTTTTTTCCTCTAGATTGAGAGTTCAGGTAAATTCCAGAGGTAGCTGGATTTCAACTCAATCTGTACTCCAATCAGAATTTATAAATTTGATGTTTCACAAATGGCTTTTCTATGCCTTCTGTCTCTAAATGTACCCACAAACATCTAGTTCAGCATTTCTCAAATGCGGCCATCAGCAGCGGCCCCTCCCCAGGGCCCTGCCTCCTTCTGGGGAGACACAAGTTGGAGGAGCAGGCAGGCAGTTAGTGAGTTCCCCACCTTCCCGGCGGGAGTGGTGGAGTTAAGCTAGGGTGGCGGATGGCAGGCTCCAGCCACGGGGCTTCAGGCTCTGTCCCCAGGCCTTGTCCCCTGTGTGTGGGGTTTTGGATTCCGTTGCCTGGCTGTATGGTGGCGGGCTCTGTCCCTGAGCTTGCCCCCACCCCCCTATCACCTCTGGCCCCTGCTGCCTCTGAACCCACCTCCCCATCCAGGGCTTAATTTGGCCCCTGCTGGGGCTGAGTAAGTCTGCTGTGAAAAGTGATACTAACAAACATACAAATACCACTTTTCACGGCACTCTTACTTGTAGCTAACAAGTTTTAAAAAACCCCAAACCAGCAACCCAAAAAAGCAAAAGAAACAACAAGAAAAAAGACAAAAATGTTCAAAGCACCTTATTTATGTTTCTATTCTGTTTTGGTCCAGTAAAGAATAGAGACAACTGTACAATATTTGTATTATTGAGTCCGCAACCAAAAAACCCTATATAGATAAATTTTAATGATTTGGACACGTACATGTGCATATTTGTTTTTTCTAAAGTTAATTAAGTATTTTAGGGAGAATTGTCAGAGCGGCCACTAGCAAGAGTTGGTGGCCGCACTCTGAGGCCACCAAAAAATGAGTTGTGAGAACCCCTCATCTAGATCCTTGTTTACGTTAGGAAAAAATAGACTTGTGATTTTGAATTTTGCTAGTAAGTATGTGCTCTCGCAGCTATTTTCCATTAACTTCTCTTGTCCTTTGCAGTTTGTCAGATTCTGTCAATACAGCCCATTTGTTTCATGGTCACAAGGCGCCTGATGAACTTTAGGGGACAAGAGAAGTCCATAGAGAGATTTCTAGTCCGTCTACCCTGACAAAAGTTATTTTTTCTATAAGATAATCGTCTCTATTGTCTAGAGCGTGAGGATTGAAAAGTTCACAGAGAAGCCTGGGGTATTTTCTCTCTCGACTCCTAGAAACTCTGTGATATTGATTCTTTACCTTATTCGATCATTTTTTCTTGTATAAAGGTTAGAATTGACCTGTTCACGATGTCTGATCACTGGATTAGTGATCATAAGGCAAGGTTGAGCATAAACTGTCAGTCTTTGAGTGTTTCTTTCCATTGCTCCAACATTAAGTGGTGGTGACTTGAGGGTAGTTTTAAGGCTTCTTGATCAGGATGTCAGAAAATCTGGAGTTGGAAGTGTCTTTAACTCAAGAAAAGACTTAAATGTACAGTCTGGTTTGGAATCTTGTCAGAACGATACTGTCTTTGCTTCTTAGTGACAGATTATTGAAATCTGCTATGTCTTTGGTTCACCCCTGTATCCATAACGCCTGTGGTGAAGAATCTGAATAATCTGCATCAAATCCTCTATCAAGGCTTTTGCATATTCCTTTCTCTGTCCCATTCCTGGTTCTCTGTTCTCCATATCTGCAGAAAAATCTGGAGCAAAGGAAATTAGGAAGAAAGGCTTAGTTGGCTACTAGGCATTAAGTTTTGCCATTTTTCAGGTCATTCTTTTCTTACAAATTTTCACCCAGGCATAATTATATCTGTAATATTTTCTGTTTGATTTTTAAGAAAGCTAAATATCCTCTTGCAAAATTTCAGTGCATATTCACTGACAGTGTTGAGTGATCATAGCTGCAAAGGCTGTGGTTACCTGCTAAATCTGTATAGACATGCACAAGTGGAGTCCTCGGGGCTCCTAGCTGGTATGAAAATACACCTCTACTTCGATATAACGCTGTCCTTGGGAGCCAAAAAATCTTAACGCGTTATAGGTGACACTGTGTTTATATCGAACTTGCTTTGATCCGCTGGAGCGCCCCTCTCTCCCTCCCCCCCCCCCCCCAAGCGCTGATTTGTCGTGTTATATCCGAATTCATGTTATATTGGGTTGCTTTATATTGGGGTAGAGATGTATGTCCATTGAAGGTTGGACCCCTTCACTAAAACAAAACTACACTAACAGCTTCGCTGTTCAGGCTGTCAGTCTTGAGTCAGAAAGAAACATTCACAGTAGTCATCCACTGTCACACAAAATTTCAGGTTTCCTCTTCTTAAGACTTGTTGAGGGCATGTGGAAAGTGTATATCAAAGCTCATTTTGGGCACCAGGGAGATGAATCACTGAGGTAACACTGATCTAAGGTATTGTTCTCTACTCTGTTGGCTCAGTCTGGAACCTCAAAGAAAGCAGTAAGTTTGATGAGACATGCCTTTTTCTTCTCTCTGTAGCTCTTCCATGTAACATAAAGTTGAGAATACTGATCTGTGATGTTAGAGTTCAAGAAAGCTATGTGATCCAGTTGCACTCCATCCTTATCCAACTCTTCGATACTTCACAACCTGCTATGGCAGGAAGTTACTATCCTTATGTAACAGGGAAGTAAAAATTTCTCAGAAGTATTGAAGGGAAGAGTTTCCTCTTGTAATTGTGAAAGAGTTTTCTACTCCTGCATCTTCAGAAACTGAACTAATCAACAGATGCAAATACCAGATGATATTGCCTTCCATTTGACAACTTCCAATCTCATGTTCTCAAGACTGATTTTCATATTTTGATCTGTGTCTGAAAAGACTTCTGGAGTGATTGAAGCACAATCTCTTCAAAATATTCTCTTCACATAGTAATGTTCTTTATTATGGACTCAAACATGGAATAAACCTAGAAAGTCCACTGTGTCCCATTCAAGCCAACTTTTATTGGGTGTCCTTTGATTGTTTGGTGACCTTCTGGTACGTCTTCACTACCCGCCGTATCAGCGGGTAGCAATAGATATATCTGGGATTGATATATCGTTAAGACGCGATATATTGATCCCCGAACCCGCTCACCGTCGACTCTGGAACTCCACCAGAGCGAGCGGCGGTAGCGCGGCCATCGATCCCGCGCCATGTGGACCCCAGGTAATTCGATCTTAGATATTTAGACTTCAGCTACGCTATTCACATAGCTGAAGTTGCGTATCTTAGATCGATCTCCTCCCCCCCACCCCCAGCTTAGACCAGCCCTAAGAGTTGCTCGCAGAACAGAAGTCTCAAGATTTGAGAATGCATCTTCTTATCTTAAAACAGCTACAGAAATCAGTTCACTTTTTTTCTGTTCCCTCATATTACAAGCTTAATTCACTTTTATGATCACATATACTCTGCCTAGAACTGCTGCTTCCCCAAAACCGATTGAATCCATTTGCTGTTCTTAGGGCCAGCAAAAATTCTAATGTCCCAGCAACCTCAACTGTACATGTGTGTTTTGGGAAGTATGGTTCTGTGTGAAATATAAAGATGCTGCTCCTGATTGGAGACAGAGCCTGTAGGAGTAGTGATACATAAAACATAAGATCTTCCCAGCTGCCTTCACTTAACAGAAAAGGACAATTCTCTGGAAGAATGTCTGAGTCTCAGCAGAACCAATATGAATATAGTCCCTGAAGGACTCTAGTAAAGGCCATTTTCAGAAAGTAGGATCACGTTTATATAACTCTAATGACTCAAAAGGCAGCACAACATTATTCTGATAAGACAGGAAAAGATCCGGCATTCAGCTGCCACGTGGCTGGGTGGCAGTGAAGCACAGAGGAGTGCTTGTTTTTCTCAGCCACTTTTTTCCTGTTACCAGCGTGAGTCCTGTTATTCTCTTATCCCCAACTTGTGCTCAGCACTTTTGGTGTCAACATTTCCTGCAGTAGTCCCAGCTCTCTTGTCTTAGAACTATTAGATTTTCTATCCAGACTGAAGGTAAATAGATTTGGTAGTTTGAGATCTTTTCAGTTTCAGTTATGAACTTTGTCTGACTGTTAAGAATCGTTACAAATCTTTCAGATCCTGAAAAAGGAAAAGTTGTTGAGGTGTTTTTAATTTTTGGTTCTTCTCACTTAAAATACGTTAGATTGGAATATTCAAGTCTATTTTCTCAGATAAGAGCTAGAACTATATATTGCTAGACATTGGATTTGAATTTAGTCCAGGCTAGATAAATAGTTGCCTTCAAACCAATTTTTTCCCAAAAACTTTTATAGAATGGATTACATGAATTATGTGCAGCTGGGAATTGCAAACCTAAGAAGTCAATCTCCATTTCAAAGTGAAACATGTTTCCAGATTTATAATTTAACTGCTGTTTCTGTTCTGCTCATTCAGAAGCTGTGTCATGGTATGTCTTAATAGTTTATTAGATTTTAGAAAATGTTAATTATCAACCAGATGAAGCACATACAAAAGCAAATAAGATCAAAATTCACTGTAATACTAAATCTTTAAGAAATCTTAGGCAGAGATTTCTGATGTTTAAAAATAAAAAGGGAAAAACCACTGTTGGCACATAATGTTTCATAAATAAATATTAGCAATATCTGCACAAACGGATGGTTGACATTGAAGGTTATACACAATTAAATTCATTTACTAAAAGAAAAAAACTTCTAAGGAAATCTGACATAAATACTGAAGCTGTTGGCTTTCTGGACAGTAAATGAGTTTTTCCACTTCCATGTTGCTTCACCTTAAGCTGCAAAAAGTGCAATGTTCTAATTAAAACAATTATAAACACACTTAATGGGTAGCTTATTAGGAATATAGGAATTACCTTACTGGATCAGGCTAGTGGTCCATATGGTCTTCTAGCCTCTTGCCAACAAAGACTAGTACCAGATGATTCAGAGGAAGATGCTGCAAGAAACTGCAATTAGGGGATAACCTGCCCCAGGGAAAGTTTCCTTCTGTTACCAGTAATTTGAGACTGGTTTTAAGCCCTAAAACATGAGGATTTATGGGGGTGGAGGGACTGGGGCTTTTGGTTTTTTAATGTGTTTACTATTACTCTGGATACTCTTGTTCATAGAAATGTCTAATTCTTTAATCCTGCTAATTTCTTGGCCTTGATGGTGATTTATAGCAGAGAGTTCCACAGAATAATTGTACCTTGTGTTTAAAAAAAAAAAAAAAATCCTAAAACAATAAGCAGTGTTACTACACCTCTACCTTGATATAACGCTGTCCTTGGGAGCCAAAAAAATCTTACCGCGTTATATTGAACTTGCTTTGATCCACCGGAGTGCACAGCAAAACCCCCCACCCCCCAGCACTGCTTTACCACACTATATCCAAATTCGTGTTATATCAGGTCACGTTATATCGGGGTAGAGGTGTACTTAAGTTAATTTACTAGGATAATTCAAACAAACTGGAGGTACCAATAGATTGGAAACTTGGACAGTAGCTACATGAGAGGAATGGAAAGGGATTGATTAAAAAAGACATTACTTCCTTGACAGCTGGCCCTGTAGTAGATAACACATAGTTGTTTTCTTTATCTTCCTTATTCTTTGAATCTCTCTTAGGAAACATATCAAAGAAAGGAAAAGAGAAGATTTATTTCCTTATATTTAACATGGTGTAATTTATCTATAAAGAGTGGGAGGGGAGATTCTAAAATGGGCAGTGTGCAGATTTCCACAAATGCAGGTGGCAGAGGGGAGAACATTTCTAGCATTTTGATAAAAGTATCAGTATCCTAATAGCTAATCTCTAAACACAGGTTCAAGTTTTTTCCATAAGTGTATATTTCCAAATTAAAAACTCCATTAAACTATTGTTAAAGTTGAGTACATAACATTATCATAATGGTGAAAGCATTACAAGGGTGTTGTAATTATCCCAAATCCAAATGTTACAAATCCAGGAAATTCAAATTGTTTGTTTAAATCAAAAGAAATCAAAACTTGTTAACCTTAATTGCTTTAAAGGCCAGCTCTATTCTACCCTGCAATGATGCCAAGAGAGGAGAGGGGAAGCATCCCTGAACACTTAAAAATCTGTTTAATTTAATCTGGAACTGCAAACACTTACACACTAATAAATGTATTGTGGTTGAATGGTGTCACGACCAGATGGGATTAATGTTATTTTGGGATGCTTTTGCTGCATAGTATAACATGTTTGGATTTTTTTTGACGTTATTGGTTGTTACATTATTGATTTGTACTCAAACCTTAACTCCAGTTTGACAGGTTTATTACCATGTGATATTTCTAATCATTTGAAGATAAGATGTCACTTTTTTTTTAAAGCAAAATTCACTATCGTGATTGGTCTGCTTTGTGTAAGTGTAGATGGATGCAAAGCAGCCTGCGTATATTGTCAGATACCCCAATTCCTGATCTTCACGCTTCCCTATGCATATCCCCTAATTTTCTCCTCCTTCCATACATGCACACCAGTTCCCCCGCCCCTTCCCACCAGTACCCCAAATTTTCTTAGACCACCCACAAATGTCCACTTGCTATTGCTGATGAGTAGACCTGGTGCAACAGGTAGCTTTTCTCCCCACCCCCACCCCATTACTGAACGTTTCTCCTTCAGCAGAGCAAATACTCACTTTCAGAATGGTCACAGCCTTCCGTTGCTCCCAGTGTGGATGATGTCAAGCTGCCCTAGGGGAAGATGGTAGCCCCTGACAGCCACTGTAGGGCGCCACCAATCCCATTGGGAGTAATGGGAAATGGTGGTCATTTTCAAATAAGTAATTTTGTTGATGGTAGCTTCACTTACATTGGGTTTTATCAGAAACAGATTTTTTTATTTAACCTTCAGTGAATTAATTGCCAACTAAGTCAAGTTTAACATGTTAAACATTAGTGTAGCCACTCTCTGGATATTGATTCCATGGTACAGATGCTTAGTATTTGCCCTAAAACACAGGGTAACAAGCAGTTTCTTGTGGAAAATTATTGGTGAGGCTTTGCTGAAGGAGGAACCTTTCAAGTCGAAAAATAATGGCAAAAATGTATGATTATTCCTTTAAAAAAAATTTTTTTAAATGTAGCCAGTGTATGAGACTTCAGTTATTTGTAACTGTTGATGGGTCTGTATGTTCAGTTAAGATCACTTGGGACATATATGATGTAACTTTTGAGTACTGGACATCTTAAATAACCCGTTAACTGAAACTAATTAATGGGTTTATTTCCAGCATTTTAGGAAGTTTATTCTGTGCCCAAAGAGTGCTGTAATTTCAGGAAGGTTGTGCTGTAAGGCTGTAACGCAGTGGTATTAGCCCTACTTTAAGTACTCAGACTTAGCTGTGGAGCCACAAGCAGCACTTGTGTGTAAAACACAACTCAGAGATAACAACTGAAGCTTTTGACAATAGATGTTTTATGTGAATCTCAAGGTCAGGAACATAGTCCATAAGTGGAGAGAAGGGAGAGTAGGTTGCACCTTCAGCACAAGTGAAACAATTCTGAATGAGGATATCTTCCATTGTTTGCAGTGTTGTAGCCATGTTGGGTCAGGATAATGGAGAGACAAGGTGGTTGAGATAATACCTTTAACTTACCACCTTTGGTGAAACAGCAGGTCCTGAAGAACTCTGTGTAAGATCTAAAGCGTGTCTCTTTCACCAACAGAAGCTGGCCCAATAAAATATTACCTCACCTATCTTGTCTCCATGAGTAGGGATACTAAAGTAAGGAGGAAGTAAAATTCCCGCTCTGCAAAAAGGAGAGCGTGCCTTAGCTTCCCACTCTTCATTATTCTTCACTCACTATTGAAATGAGGTTTCATCAGGTAGAAGAATCTGAAGTAAGCATGAGGGTTTGGTGCTTGGGGGTAACTTCTGCCAATAAGTGGTAAAGCTAACTCAGAGTACCCTATTTGTCTTTTGCATCCTTAACGGGAAAATCTGTCCCATCCAAAGGGCAGAGAATGAGTGATGATGAGCCATTTCAAGCTCCCCCTTCCAAAAATAAAAGGGAGGAAGCCCTGCAACTGGCCAGAATTCAGAGGAAACGGAATGGCCCCTTTGGTTCCTTCTCCCTTTTCAGTTCTCTGTACTGGGGCAGGTGGTTGGGAGCATAAGGGTATTCCCCTACACATCTCCACCGTGTGTGTTTGTACGCACACCTTCGCTTGGTTAGCTATAGGTCTGCGTGAGGACATGGACTCAGATACATTTCTCTTTTCCCCATTCTTTCCCTTTACCATGTCCTGTCTCACAAGATGATGCAATGTCATGTGGACGCCTGTGATGACATACAACCACCAGAATTGGTGAGTGAGCTCCTTCTTTCCTTTTTATTTTGGTCTGCTATTAAAACTGCTTCTGAGGGAGTGCCTTTTTAGCCGGTTAAGGATGTCCTCCTCAGACAATGAGAAGGACATTGGGCAATTCTTCAGTTTAGGTATAGCCCATGACAGGCTTGTGTAGTACTATGAAATTATAGAAACCTGCCATTTAGTGCTTTGGCTACAGATTCATCAGGCATATACTTCATTTGGCATTCCCGTTTCTTGAGAGCAAGTGATGCGGTTGCTAGGCTTTCTCCTGGGAATTGTACTACCAATTAATATCCCAGAGTACAAATGTGCAGAAGCTTTGTCAAAGGAGATAATGGTAAAAAGATTCTATTGTTATTTCAATATCTTGCCTCTTTAGATCCACTCTCCCCTTTTGCCCCTTTTTTTAGTCCTAACATTTGATCCATGAGATGCTATTACTCTACCACCACATCACTTGCTGCTTTGCAGAAATTTCCATTACAACAGCACTGTTTGTGCTTGTATCCCACTGTGTATCTGCTGAGGCAATGTACTCTAACGAGTTATTGGTAAGAAGCTAAATATTTTATTGGGTTTATCATGCTACATTTTAATTATGAAACTGTTAAAATTGGGTTATTACATACACTTATGGATAAGCATCTTATCAGTTATGCATTGTTTGGTCTACAGCCTTTGTACTATTTGAGTGTACAGATATAAAATCATAGTTTTTAGCCCTGTACAGTGGCTTCATTCTCCTCTTTTTGTGTTCCACTGTAAGTTCTGTTATACTGCATTGATAACTCTATTGCTAAGTAACATGATTACACCATATTTGTTGCTTAGGAACAGATGATTAATTGAACATTTGGTTCTAAATAGCTTCCTTTTTGGCATAGTTCTCAAAAAGGACCAGAGGTAGCAGGTAAATGCGAGATTATTTTAACGAGCAACTCTGCAAACCAATAACAATTCTGCATGTTCCCATATTTCGGACTAATTTGCTGAATTATAATTTGAATTTTAATAAGTATCCAAATCTAGTTAGTTTTACACATTAAAAAAGGGGGTAAGAGGTTACACGTGATAAATTAGAGGAATCGGTTAAAATATGTTTAATCAGGAAGATTGGATAATTAAGTGCATAAAGTGAAGAAGCACTGTAGACATCAAGTGAAGTTCCATGGGAGTAGTGACAGTTTTCTGCACTGATCATGTGCTCTGATTCTTTTTAACAGTTTTCTACCCTGGATTGGGGAGGGGGGGCGGCTATGGCTATTGGGGGGCACATTATATTGGGGCTAACCTTCTTAAAGCACTGCCTTACAATTGCCACTTGATTTTGCCTAGACCAGTGGTTCTCATATGCAGTTCTCTATGGGCTGCATGGAGTCACATGGGTTACAGGTATGTGCCAATTGGGCTGCAAGCAGGCTGCAGGTTGAGAACCGTTGGCCTAGACCTAGGTAGAGTGAGAGGAGGGCTGATATGATCTGCAAACTCAATAAAAGTCACATATTTGGGCTCAAAATAAAGTTTTAGAGCACTTGAGCTGTTATCTCATACCAAGTCGTTTAGGTGGCTTTGAAATGGTGAGATTTTCATTTCTGAGTCATAAGTTCGGATCTTGGATCAGTAGGTCACTACTGTGAGATGTCCACTTGGTGGCATATCTAAATATCATTATTCACATTCTTTTGTTAACTTAGCAATGATACCAAGGATCTGAATATGTATCTCACTCCTAGATGTTTCTTCCAGAGTAGGGCTGAGGTACATGGGCTGGGAAGATTGTGCAGAGCAATCATTTTCTTTCTGTATATGCTTCTATGGCACTGTGGTGGGTTTTTTTGCACAAAATGGGGTTAGTCTTCAGATGGTATGTCTACACAGCAAAGAAAAAAATCACGGCTGGCCCAGGCCAGCTGACTTGAGCTTGTGTTGTGGGGCTATTTCATTGTTCTTTAGACTTCCAGGCTCCAGCCCAAGTCTGGAAATCTACAGAACAATGAAACAACCGCACAGCCTGAGTCCGAGTCGGCTGGCATGGGCCAGCCATAGGTTTTTGTTTGCTATGTAGATATACCCAGAGTTAACAATTCAGCACCTTTAATGAGTGCTAAGTACATTTGCTACAAAAGTTTGTCTCATCTAAATGTTTGTTTCATTAAATAAGAACACTAAGCCTTTTTCTTTTTTCCTATAGTTTGAGGGTGGGTCTGGATATGGTAAGTTCATATTTATAGATTTTACGCATGATTTATTGTTTAGTATTATAAGGACTTGATGCATACGTTTAAATCAGACTATTCTTATGCAGGGGGTCGTGGATCATACGGTGATCTCGGTGGACCCATCATCACAACACAAGTAACGATTCCCAAAGATGTAAGTATTTTATTCTTTTTGTAATTTTGTAATAGCTCTCTAAAACATCTTCCCCAGATTGTACAAATGAACCAAAAATATTTCAGATGCTTACCTTTTTCTTTCTATACTGTACACATTTTTCCAAACTGCCACTCTTCGCTTATTGGATGTTCATTTTGTCCGTTTTACAAAATAATAGTAAAAGTTTAGTATTTTACTGATCGTGAGCAATGAAAATACTAGTCAACTTGATTTTTTGCTTAGTCAATTTGACTATTTCCCACAAATGCTGCAAACAAATCGTGGCTACAAGGGAGCAATTTCCATTGGCACTCTTAAAAATCATAGAAACTACTGAGAATTTTGTAACTGCTTTTACAGAGAAATTTTATATTAAAATGTAAATAACTGACCTTTTTTTTTTCTAGTTGGCTGGATCTATTATTGGGAAAGGAGGTCAGAGGATCAAACAAATACGTCATGAATCAGGGGCTTCAATCAAAATTGATGAACCTTTAGAAGGCTCAGAAGACCGGATAATAACTATTACAGGCACACAGGATCAGATACAGAATGCACAGTATTTACTGCAGAACAGGCAAGTTGAAGTTTTAATGTTGCACTCCCACTAAATTCTAAAGCTCTTCTTCTCTATTTATATGATGTAGCTTTTAGAAGGCAGGATTTTAAAAATATCTATATTAGGACCTGACTTCTACACTTGGTAGTTTTGCCTTTATTCTCTTTTGTTCTCCATTCTTACTAAAATGAAGACGCCCTCAAAACTAATCTTGCTGGAAGACGCCTTAACCAAGCAGTCCTCTCATTTCTCTGGTGAAAACTGCTGCAAAAACTACTTCTAATAAATTATATAGAGCCTGTAGAAAATATAGAAGATTTCAGTGGATGTTGGTCTAGTTCTGTGTGGAAGACTAGTGATTTTGTTGTTTTTAGATAACTAAATCGACAACAAATCGCAGTCTGCCATATGGCACAGGCCATGCCTCTACAGGACAAGTTGAAAACGATTGGTGCTGTTAATGCAGCATTTCACACCTTACTGGCATTACCTTGTCTTTTCTGCCAAATATTAACAGCTTTAGATTTAATTTGCTTAATTTTTCTGTATTAACATGTTGGCTAACTAGTAAATATTTTGTGATAATTGACTTGAATGTTGGACTTCAGAGTACTAATGCTTAAATGTGAATTAAATCTTTAGTCTTTAAAAATATGCAAGTGTTTTGAGAACTTGTAATTTCGATTTTTTTAAAAAATGTGTGTAAATATTGATGCAAAATGTATGTTCAACCATTCTAATACATGCTTTTTTTTCTTTTTCTTTTATAGTGTGAAGCAGTATGCAGATGTTGAAGGATTCTAATGCAAGATATTTTTTCTTTTTTATAGTGTGAAGCAGTATTCTGGAAAGTTTTTCTAAGACTAGTGAAGAACTGAAGGAGTCCTGCATCTTTTTTTTTATCTGCTTCTGTTTAAAAAGCCAACATTCCTCTGCTTCATAGGTGTTCTGCATTTGAGGTGTAGTGAAAGCTTTGCTGTCCACCAGATGTAATGTTTTAGTTCCTTACAAATATTTGGGGGGGGGAAACAGGGTGGCGCGCGAGACTAACATTGGAATTTTGAAACAGCAGCAGAGAGAGTGGTTTTTATTTTTGTTAGTTGGTGGTATTCTGTAATGTTTTTCTGTAACTATTGTGAACACCCTGCTTTATGTACACTGTATATTTTTTTTTTTTGAAGGGGGAAAATATTAGTAGTCCACATGTTCCTGGCATCCATTCAGAGCAGTGTGCAGAATGTAATACTCTTTTGTAAGAAATGTTTTATGATTTTTAAAATAAATTTAGTGAATCTATACTTGGTTGTCATTTTTTTAGATATTCATGAAGGTAATATCTAAAATTGATTCTCTTTTTTGGGGCCCCCCCCTCAAGAAATTGTAATTGAAAATTGCTGTTAAGTTCTTCTGCTTCTGATATAGACTTGTGTTTTGGCAAATTAAAGTGTATTGGTGAAAATACCATGGTTCAAAGCTTTGCTGCTTGGGAATAAATTGCAACATATGCAAAAGTTGGGTTAGGTTTGGGTTTGTTGCAAGTGTTTGCCCCTATTTACCTGATTTGCAGCACATTTGTCTATATTACTAACTGTATGTGAATAAAATCTTTAAAACTTTGTGATATCTGAGTTACAATGGTAGATTCCACCTGAAGTCTGGTCATTGACAGCCTTGCTGTATCAAATAACACTGTTATAGAGATGAAAGATGGTGTACCTCTAATAAATACATTTTGATTTCACATCTTTCAATTGAATGAGGTAGACATTTTTAAAGAATTGGCAATTTGATACTCTGTAACTTGTAAAAATATCCTGGTTTTTCATTGTATACAGGCTTACATGAAACACTTGTATTGTTTCCCTGTAGAATGTTGGATTATGTAGGAAACATTTGTGAGAAATTCAAAAAATGATAAAAGTACCTCTGCATATCTCATGTACCTTGCCATTTGTATTGATAGTTTACAAGTTTTAATTTCACTTCCTAAATAAAAATAAATGGGGGGAAAAACCCACCCACCTTACACACAGCTAGATCTGATAAATCCAGTTTGTGTGGATGCTTGTTTTGATTCCTGGGACATTTCACTTCAGCCACCATCCCAATCAGCTATCGACAACACTGATGCAGGAAAGGTGTAGATGTTCTTACACATTGCTCTAGCTTAAGTAAGATCTAGTAAAGCTGTTTTTATAGAGGAAATGAAATTGTCAGCTTCCTCATTAAAATCTATATTAAAGCATTAGTGGTTTAGAAAGTGGTGCGGTATGTAAGTTAAAAGAGCTGCTTAATACTAATACATTACAGTTGAAAAGTTGCATATGAAAGGTTAAAATGCACATAAGACTATTTGAACGCTAGCAAAAGTAAGTTGGCTGTACTATACGGTCAATTTCAACAGTTGTAAGAACAACAAATTGCAACCTTTTCCTGCTTCAAAACCCAGGGCTGTTTGCTTTCACTGGGAGTTTCTTATGGCATGCTGATGGTATCCATGTATCTTTCACGATTTGTATGTGAAAGTTAGTTTAAATACAAACTACCACAATGAAGGTATTTGGAGCCTCTTCTCATTTTTCCTGTAACCTTTTGTTCTGATGTTGAGCTGCCTATACTTTTTGTGATGAAGAGGTAAAGGTATTTTAATTAGCTATGGGGCGGGGGGGAGAAATGGAAGTTCAGTTGTCAGTGGTCCGCTTACCTTTGTCCCACTTAAGAATCAGTGTTTAGGCCATACTGAGCCACTATAAATATGATAATACATGCAGAATGTCAAGTCCATTACAAAACTGCTATATTTGAAATTCTACAGTTGTCCTGTTCTCTATAGGACAATGTTTAGTGGCACACATGTTTTTCCAGATAAGCTGAATTAAATCTAGACTTCTAGCAATGGTACAAAGAAAGCCAGTTGGCTAATCTAGCCCCTTAAATTATTGTGCTGTCTCCATTTCATTTATTTTCATTTGAGTGAGTTCTCAGTGCCTGGGGAAAGGAACACTGCAAAAATGAATCCCTTCATATGTGAACTGTGCTGCTTCTATTGCTGTTGTGTACTTGCAGGAGAAATACCTACTGATGTAAGGTATATGCATCCAACTCAATGCTTTGGGTCTGTTAATGCTGCAAGTAAGTAGTGTTCCACTGAAAAGAATATATGGGGTTGCTGGTATTTGCTGTGCATGGAATGGCAGTAGTGTCCAACTGTATTTTATAAAATGGGGACTATTTTAGCATGACTGTAAAGACCATTTCACAATACAGTGTAAATAAGCCTGAAACCGGTGTTACAATCATTAGCTTTTGAGGGCAGATGGGACCATTTTCAGCTAGACCAGTGATTCTCAAACTGGGTTGGGACCCCATTTTACTGGGGTTGCCAGGGCCAGCATTAGACTTGCTGGGACCCAAGGCTGAAGCTAAACCCTGCCCTCTACCCTCTCTTCTTCTTTCTCCCTCCCCCTCCCCATGTAGTGACTGTCTGAAAGGGGTCAGGATGCAATAAACTTTGAGAACTGGGCTAGAGTGAGTGACTTGCATGTTGCAGGTTACAGAATCTCGCCCATCTTTTCCTGTAATAGACCCATAACATCTGGCTAAGTTACTGAAATCCTCAAATCATGATTTAAAGGCTTTGAGTTATGGCGCATAGTGTCTTGTGTCTTTCTGACTACCAGAGGCTAACAAACGGCTTCTATGGGGGAACGTGACCTGGTATTTTGTTCACTTTCCTTAAGCCTGTTGTAGGTGTGTAACACTTCAAAATAAAGCATGGTGCGTTCTGTGTTCACTCTGCAAGTAACATTATCCGCGCTGCAATATAATTCCATCAGAACTGCCTTTTTCTGCCTTCCCTGCATTCTCCCTTACCCCCAAATCAGCAGCTGGCCTCTCTCCTCATTGGACCAGGAGTCACAGAGAGGGAAAGAATTTGGCAGAAGCGCTATAAAGAGTCTTGCATCTGAAGAAGTGAGGTTCTTACCCAGGAAAGCTTATGCTCCCAATACTTCTGTTAGTCTCAAAGGTGCCACAGGACCCTCTGTTGCTTTATAAAGAGTCTGTAAGGCGGAGTTAGCTCCTCGCCACCCTCTGATAGAATCTGCTGAGCCGCCACTCCGTTAAACAGCTCTTTCGTGCAGCCTGTGCCTTAACTCGGAAGCTGGCGCTCACCGTCTTCTGGTCGTATCGCCGCTATTATGCAAATCAGTCAAGTTCTGGTTGGCGGCTGAAGGTGAAACGGAGGGAAGAAAAGCGGAAGGGGCGGGCTATGCGCGGTTACTGCTTCTCGTTCTACCTGGTATCGTCACCGTTCTGACGCTTGCTGTGTAGAGCCCTCCTTGCGAAGCGCCCGCGCACCTGCACAGGTAAGCAGAGAGCTGGGGACGCTTGTCCCCGCTGCAGCAGCGCCCGCCTGGTGGGGGCATTAGTTTTTCTCTTTTTCCGGTACGTTCTGCGAAGAGAAGTGCTGTGGTGGCCTGTAGCTAACCATGTGCAAGGCGTGGGGCAACCTATCGCGAGACCTGGGTGATGTATGGCTCTAATGATGGCCCTGTTCGTGCTGGACCCTGTCAGTCCCCTGGGTCATCTCGCGCTCTCCGAGTACCGCAGAGGATGGCTCTGAATGTTTTTCTTTCCCTCACTAGAAGGAGAGCCATGGAAGCGTTCCTGTCCCCTAAAGACTCTGCCAAGTTCATAGCCGAGAACAGCCAAGACGTGCTTGTTGAAGAAGCGGGAGTGAGGAAAGTTGCAGAGGCTCTGTTTGACAAAGTTTCAGCAAAAGAGTTCAGTTTGGCTGGCTGGAAATCTCTTCACGAGCTGAACCCTCAAGCAGTTAATGATGATGCAGTGAATTGGGTGTTTCTTGCAGATACCCTTAACTTTTCCTTTTGGTCTGAACACCAAGACCATAAGTGTCTGGTGAAGTACAGAGGCAAGATGTACAGTGGTTACTGGTCTCTTTGTGCAGCAATCAACAGAGCACTTGATGATGGTTAGTACATAGTTACTCTGAATTGTAGTGGAACTGCATGGCTGCTATATGGTTGAGCTGCTTATTAAACTAAAAATCTACATACCCAGTTATCATTATGATGGGGGAAGGAGGAAATTCAAAACTGTCTCAGAGTCCGTTTCAAATTTACTCCCTGACCCTGCAAATACATGGAGCTTCTCGGCTCTCTGAGCTGTGGTCCAAGTGTAGTACCTGGGTAGTCCTATTAAGTTCACATGAGATGAACTAGAAGGGCTCTAATGATACCCATTCTTATAGAAAATAAAGTAAACTACTTAATCATCTATATACAAAACAATTTCTGTCTCGGGTTATATTTTTTCTGTTAAACTATACTTTTGATAATTCTGTAGTTATATGCATACGTGACTCCTGTTATTTCAGGTACATACTTCTTAAAATTAATTTATATTTTTGTGATTAACAAATAAACCTTGTCTACACTGAGAATTTTAAGGAATTTTCTCCTGTTAATCTAACACCAATGCAGCTCCAGCAAGTCTAGAAACCACAATAATAGAAACACCTGTACCTGGTGTAGGCTGGTGCTTCCACAGTTGCTATCACTGAAGGAGTGCTAGACCTATGGTGAAGGTATGGCCAAAAATTCTCAGTGTGGGTCTAGTTAAATGTCTTTATGAAGAAACCACAATGAGTGCATACAAATAAGGGGAAAGCTATAAGGATATTTTATGTGGATTCAGAATGACTGGCAATTAAAGTAAAAATAGGAGTAAGAATTGGGTGCTGATATTTGCATGGGATATTATTTAAACATCAAGTCAAGTATTGAAGACTAGTAGAAATGGGGAAAGATACAGGAAAAAAAGAGAAGAAATGTACAATGATGACTTGCTATTGGGAGCTGTTATCTATAGGAGTCTACAGACATAATAAAGCATTGTCTCAAGTAGGGTGACCAGATCACCAAAGACAAATATCGGGACGCGGGGGGGGGGGGTGG